GGGGGGGGGGGTGAGAGTGGTGGTAGGGAGGATATGGTGGCGATGGAGAGGGTGGTGGCCGTGGTGGTGGCCGTGGTGGTGGCCGTGGTGGTCGTGGTGGTCGTGGTGAGTGGACGCGTGACCGGGACGGGGCGGCAGGGGCATGGGGGGAGGGGGGCAGGAGCGGGAGTGAGGGCGGGGCAGAGGCAAGGTTAGCCACAAGGGGGGGGGTGACGGTGGTGGTGGTGGTGGTGGTGGTCGGCTGAGGCGGCTCTGCTGGTTGGGCTGCAGGCGGTCGGCTGCTGGGGTCGTGGACGGCACAGACGCCTAGACTCACGCAGACAGGGGGGGTGGTGCGGGTGGGTAGTTTCTGCATGCGATCATCGATGACCTCTGCTCCAAGCCGCAGTCGTACGTGCAGCGGTTCCAAGAGTGCGCGTCGATCGACTCGATTCTCGGCTCGGTGGAGGCCTTCAAGCTGCTGTTCACCAACGCGATCAAGTTCTCGCTGTCGAACGAGGCCATTGCCAGCGATCTTGCCACCCTCGGCGTCGACCGCAAGCTTTTTGCGCCGATTGTCGGCGTCCTCCGCTCGCGGACAGATGAACTCCGACTTGCCCTTGTTGTAGCCTCGTCGCAGATTGCCTCGGCGTACATGACCGACTTTGACTGGAAACTCAACGTGACGCTCGGCTCGGACAAGATCGCCGCTCTCCACCAGCCCAAGCTTCTGCTCAACGTGCAAGTCGAGCAGGTCTCGGGCGAGTCGTCGGACATGACCGTCGAGTTCACCAAGGAGTCGCTCGACGAGATGCTCGCCCAGATGGAGGCGGTACACTCGACGCTGGTCACGCTGCAGACGCCGCCGCAGCCCCGTCGTCGTAAGCACATAAAAGCAGAGGGTGGCGGGAGCAAAGTAGAAGTACGAGTTTATCAGGGTGGCTGGCTACCAGTCGCTCGTCTTGAGAACCGCGGTGAGAGGCCAGTGGTCCGAGACGACGCCGCGCGGAAAGCCGTGGTCGATGTACGCGTGCGAGAGCGAGCCGATGAGCGAGTTGGAGATGAGCAGATGATCGATCTGCGAGACCAGGTCGGTCCCGTACGCCGATGTGTAGCGCGACGGCTGCTTGACAAGTGCAGAGACCTCCTCCAACGACATCGACTCGGTGATGCTGGGCGTGGTGGCGTTGGCAGCCGGGCTCGATGCGCCCTTGATGACGCCGTTGCGGAGGATGTTGACGACTCGCGAACTCGGCTTGTTGTCGGCCGAGTCTGGCACGTCGGCCGAGTAGTCGTTGTGGTCGCCGAGGATGATGACGTCCATGCCCTTGGTCAGGAACTCGTCAACCTGGTAGCGAATGACGTTGGCCTGGGCCTCGCGCTTGGCGCACCGGGTCGACTCGGTGGGAAAGGCGAGAAAGTGGATGTTGGCCAGCGCGAGGCGGCGCGAGCCAACCCGGAGTTGGGCAAACATGTGCTTCGACACGCCCTGGGTCCCGTCCGAGCCCTTGTAGCCGCACTGCTCGCCGCCAATCGGGTACGGGAAGCGGTCGCTGGTGCGGAAGACATGAGTCTCGGGATCGATCTTGGTCAACATCCCGGTGTTCTGCTGGGTCGACGTGTCGGTGCCCTTGACCATGTACGCGCGGTAGACGGCCTCGCCGCCGGGAAGCGCCTTCGCCAGTCGCCGCAGCATGTCGCAGTCCTGCACCTCCTGCATCATCAGCACGTCGGGCAAGGGGTTCATCGTCGCCACAAACGTCGCCACGAGCTCCAGATGCCGGTCCGCCTCCTCCGCCGTCTTCCATGGGCACGACGACGGGCCGGTCACGCCATCAAACAGCCACTCGACGTTGAACGTGGTGATGACCAGTTGTTCCTTGTTTGTCCGGCGATCTGTACGCGTGCGTGTACGTATGCGTGTATGCGCGTGTGAGGAGGGGAGGGGGAGGAGAGGGGTGATCAGCACGGTCCTCGGCATCGCATCGACATCGGCACGACCACCACCATCGCCACCACCACCACCACCACCACCACCATCACCACCACCACATCCACCACACCCATACATCCACACCCATACATCCACACCCATACACCACACCCATACACCACACCACACCCACAATCATCCATGAGTCATCCCCTCCCTTGCACCCCCCCCCCCCCCCCTCCCCCCCTCCCCCCTCCCCCCCCACGGTCGTGCGGCACGTGACGTACCCTGCGGGTCGGCAGGCGCCATGTCGCAGTCAAAGCTCGCACCGGCCGCAAGGGTGACAAGAGCAAGGCAGAGGAACACAAAGATGATGTTCGTGTTCATTGCCATCTTCTCTAGCTTCTGTCTCGGATGATCGGACGAGATGGGGGTGGACGGGGGAGAGGGAGGGGGGGAAGGAGGGGGAAGGGGGGAGAGAGGGGTGGAGGTGATGCTGTCGAGCCCTGTGCCCCTTGTCCCGCTACCAGACTCAACGACGTCAATCGATCATGGCCATACTCGGTCATCGCAGGCTGATCGCAGGCAGACCGCAGGCAGACCGCAGGCAGACCGCAGGCAGATCCCGTCTTACCCAAATCATATGATTCAAAGACATACTACTCATCCCCCACCCCCCCCCCTCCCCTCCCCTCCCTCCCTCCCTCCCTCCCCCTCCCCTCCGGTGGCTCCCATCGCCCCACCCCGCTTCGCACCCCGTCGCCCGACCACCACACACACCACTCCCCCCCCCCCCCCCCCACACACACACACCACCCAACCATGGGCCTACCCATCCCACGCGCCACCGCCACCTCCATCGAGTCACTCTTTCTCTCGCGGGCGTATGAAGCTACCGTCGCCCACGCCGCCACTGCCTTTGCCGCCGCCACCGCCCAGGACGCCTCGGCCCACGTCTGCCCTGCTGACGCCGCCTGTGCATGTGCCCATGTTGCCCTTGCCTGGCTTCAGGCTTTGGTTGTCTCTGGTGCTGACGAAGCCCGCATCCGTGCTGCTGCTGCTACCATGTACGGCGAGGGGGACGACGCTGCTTTTCCGCCGGCAGTTGCTGCCTTTATGGACGACCTCAGCGACACGTTGGCTTCTCATGGTGCCACCGACGCTCCCGAGTCGGTCTCCCGCCGCGCCGCCGCTGCAAACGTGCGCGTGGTTATGGACACCCCACCGTGCTCCCCGCTTCCCCGCGCCGGAACGCCCGATCCGGTCCTGGACGACATCGATATGCCGGCAGACGCCACTGACGCCGGCACACTCTCGCCCGACACCCGCCTTGCCCCGACTCGCCACAACGACGACGCCGACGACCTCGATCCACTGCCTCGCCTCCCGGAACGCCGCCCGCTGCCGCCGTCGTCGCTCATGGACCGTCTTGTGGCCAGCCTCGGCCTCTCCGGTGTCGGTGCCGCGCTCGGTGCGCTCGTCGTCGCCTACCTGCTCTCGCGCCGCCTGCAACTCGCCCGCTCGCTAGCGTCGGCACTTTGGCGCATAGTCCGTGCCTTTCTCTCCATGATCGGGGGGGACACTCTCGCCGATGGCCGCAAGTGGCTGGTGTGAGCGTGTAGTAAAGACGTGCCTTTATCCCGGTCCACGCCGGCGCCGGCCCTCAAGTCTCGGCACCGCGGACCCGCGCCGCGGCCGCTGCTTCAGCTCGGCGAGACTGCTCGACTCGAGCTCGAACCCAGAGCCAGATCCCGACCGCGACTTCTGCTCCGATCGGTCTGCAGTGCCTTCCTCGAGGTCAACATCGACGTCGCCACCGCTTCGAGATTCGGCATCCGATGGAGCCGCAGCATCCGACGACTCCGACTTGGTCGGCAGCGTCTTGCCTGCGCCGGCATAATCGCCCGGTGCCACCGCCGCCACCGCTGTTGAGCCGCCGTTGCCACCCTGGCGCACTTCGATTGCCCGGTAGCCTAGGACGACGTACAGCGCCGTCACCTTCAGCGGGTCCATCACCAGCCACGACACCGCCAGTCCGAGGCCGAGCACAAAGGCTAGCGCGCCAAGATTGACCTCAAATCCAGGCACATATAGCGGGAGGGTGACCACAACGGCGCCTAGTGCGACCAGTCCTGCGTTGAGCACCACCGCAATCGCAATCTGCCCGCGCTTCAGCGCCCATCGAACCATCGGCACACCCAGCACCACAGACATCAGAAGCGTCACCACATTGATAAACACCATGTCCAGTAGCCGCTCCAGCGACACCACTTCAGTGTCGGACGCAAACGACTCGGGCTTGAGTATCTGCAGACACGCGGTGACAAAGAACATCAGCGCAAGGTGGACCGAGAGATCGATTGCCCGCGCCATCCGACCAAACACATCATGCTTGCAGCTCGCTACAATGCCAAACACCATGTGGTTCCGAACCACGTACTGGTCTAACCCCAGCCCAAGCCACTTCTCCGGCTCGCGCCGGTACTTGGCCACGTTCTTCCGCCGCTGCCGGACTCCAAACATCAGCATCCAAACGACAATCGCGACCAGCAAGTACATCGCCATCGCGCCTGTCGACGCCGCTCCAGACGCAGGCAACACGTTGTCGTTGACAGCGGTGGTCTTGGGCGATGCTGGCGGCGGCGCGCTAATGCTCCTCGCCCACACGTTGATCACCGTCACGTTGCCGCCTTCAACCCGCTCCACCTGCCCGGTAGCCACACGTGACACCTCGAGCGACACTGTCCCGACGTACGACTCGTTGCGCGCCACTGCTACGGGCGGCAGCTCTCCGACCACGCAAACGAGCTCGGTTGCGCTCGACCCGGCTGCCACTTGGCAAGCCACGCTGCCAATCCACACACGCGTCACAAACCCTGAACCAAGCGACATGCCACTTACCGTCAACGTGTCTCCCGGCAAAACTTTCGCCGGAGCAACGCCCGTCACCTGCAGCGATGTGTCAGGCTGGTAGATCGCAACCCACGCGCTCGGTGTCGACTGGCTGGCATAAGCTCCGCTGCCCACAAGCCGGAAACGACCCTCGACTGCGCCAGTCAGGCTGCACGCAGCCCGGTCGGTCGAAATCGGGCTGCCCACAACACGGCACTCGCCCGGTGCAGCAACTCCCGCACTGTCGACTAGCGCAAACACACCGCCGGCCGTCCGGTCTAAGTGGATGCCCTCCACCTGCAGCACGACACCGGAATCCATGGCCACAAGCGGGGGTGAATTCGCATCACCGTCGGCCCGCTCCCCACAGACACCAACGAGTGTACCACAATCGAGCCAGACGGCGCCAGGTTGCCAAACCGTGCTAGCGGTCGATCCTCGCGCGCAGAAACCCCGAGTTCCACCGTGTGTGTCCCGGCGCCCCAGCTGTGGCCCAGAAAGCCCATCCCGGTCCCGTACAGCAGCCAGCTAGAGCCCGGAACATCAAGCGCGCCGCCCGTCTGGCCGTGACGGGTCACACCCACTGCCCGCACCCCGACCACCGGACGCGCGCGCCCGCGCAGCACCACAAACACCGCGCCATAACCTGGGCCCACGGCCGTTTCGTCGCCGATGACAACATCGACCACTCCGTTTCCGTCCAGATCGCCGACACACGCACCGGAAGAACCAAAGCCTACGCTCCATAGCCCGTGCTGCGAAGCGGGAAGCAGCGGTTCGAGGTCGTTGCTGTACGAGATCGTCGTCCATCCACGGCTGCTCAGCTCTCCAGTTGCTGTCGAGAGGCTGCCAAAGACCACCTCGTCGCCGCGGCCACCCACCATCACCTCATACCATCCGGGCTCGCCCGTCTCGCCGATGCCGGTCAGTGACCGCCCAAAGTAGGCCGGTGTTACCACCGTTGTGTGGTTTGCCAGCAGCACACCCGTCAGGTTGGCCGACTGTGGCTCGTACTCCAGCCGATAAACTCTCACGCCGAGCGCAGGCACGTGGAACGAGCTACATGCCACAACTGCGCCGATCCCCTCAAACGCGCGCTTCATCAGCACCACGCCGCCAAGACACTCAAAGTCAACCGCAAACTGAGAGATAGACGCCACAGACCCGTTGCGCGAGCTGTGGCTATGAAGCACCGTCGCCGCCTTGGAGCCCAGCGCGTAGTCACTGCTACCGTCGCCGTCCACGTCGCCAACCCAGCCAGCGGCATGCGCCACGTGATGGCTTGCGTCAATGGTTCCGGGCGGGACACCATTAACTCCGTTCTTGAGTTCTACGTACTTGCTAAAGCCGAGCGTGCTACCTCCGGCTCGTGACGCTGGATCGGTCAGCAGCAGTGCCATGTGATGAGGAGCCCAGTTGCCGATCGAAAACAGCATGTCCGACGCACCGTCGCCATCGTGGTCAAAGTGGCCCACTATCGACTGGCCCATCGCCAATGTCGCGCCCACGCCCGCCCCAAACGCATTGCTAGCATCTTCGCGCGCGTTGAACACTCGCGGCGTATTCGCCACTGCGCCTGGCAGCGCAAACCGCAGGCATACTCGCGGTATCACCAGCTCTGGTGCGCCGCCGCCACGTGCGGTTGCCAGACACGCCGCGCTTGTGCCGGTCGTCAGCGATGGCATCCGTGCACTGGTCGGATCGTGGGCTGTGAGGCAGCTAAAGGCCGTCGTGCCCGAGTGCGATCCAGCCATGACACTGCATGTGGCGCTCCATCCACCGTCGACGACGCCTCCGCCCACTTGCCACTCGACAAAGTGCAAGCTGATGCCCGCCAGGGCGGCTGGTGACAGACCCGAGCCCGATACCCAGACCACATTGCCGCCGCCAACTGCGACACCGAGTCGCGAGCCAAGTTCCGGAGCGTGTCCGAGCGTGAGCGCTGAGACCCGTGGGCCAAGCATCGGCACATCCAGTTTGATGGAACCCACCGCGCCCCGTCCGTGCGAGAGCGGGACGCCCACTCCGAGCATGATCTGATCCTCAGAGCTCGACTCGAGCAACGTCATGCCGGTGCCGACTAGCCGCTCCCACGGCGCAGTAAGGTGCCTTGGAGCGCATCGCCAACCGCGCTGTCGTCATCAAGCAACAGTATCGACGCTAACGCTGGCTCGCCGCTCGCAACGAAACTACTACTTGTACCGGCAGCGCACGACCCGTACTGTGCCGACAGCGAGAGTCCCAGTGGAAGGATCATGCCGTGGCCGGCAGCCAGAACCGCCACCTCGCCGAGCCCAGTACTCGGATCAAGCCGCGAGCCGAGATACACTGCCCCGGCTCCGAGCCCTTTGGCGCCGGCCCGGCTCACGCTGCCCAGCAAGCCGTCCACCACTGGCGAGCCGCCAGCCTCATCCACCACGTTGTCGAGCAGGACAAGGGTCGCGTTTCCGGGCCCCGAGTACTCGAGCAAGGCGACGTGGAGCGCATTGGTCGTTCCAACCAGCAAGCCCACGCTGTCGTACACGCTGCACAGCGCGCCGATGGGAAGCGGAACCAGGCTTCGCCCCAATTGAGTCACACCAGGCAGACTCGCCCACGTCATCACTATGGCCCGGCCGTCCGAACCAAGAAGAAGGAGAGCAATCCGGCCGCTTCCGCCGTCGGCGTCAGGACATCCGACAACAACGTCGGGCACGCCGTCGCTGTTGACATCGCCCGCTGCAGCAAGCACGCCACACCGGGTACCAAGTTGGGTGCGGGTCCAGGGACCGACGACAGACCAGTCCGGTGCAAGTGCGACAGAGACCGAGGCCTCGTCACCTGCACTGAGAACCGCCAGATCACCGAGCCCGTCGCCGTTGACATCGCCCACCAGCGCGACGCCTTCACCAAACCGAGTTCCGTTCGCTAGCGCGCTGGCGTTGGAAGATGGCGAGATGTCGAGTCCTCCTGTTGCCGAGTAGGTGCCCACAAAGGCAACGTCAGCCCCAGCGTCACCGACAGCCACCGCCAGCGCGCCCGAGGCATCGCGGACTGCCGCGAGCGAGGACCCGTACTCGACGGTGGCCGTCAACAGGGCAAGCGAGGAGCCGCCGGAGCCGGTCGCCAGCGGTGAGGCCACAAACGACGACGGGAGGCAGATGCCGAGCGGTGCCGGCTGCCACCCGTCCGTCGTACATTTTGCGATAGCTGGTCCATACTGCAGTGCAAAGCCGGCATCGCAGACGAGCGAACACTCGGAATCGACGCCAGAGCCATGCGAGCAGAGCAGGTTTCCGTGGCTGCGGTCTACCGCCGGGCAGCGGAGTCGGACAACACATACCATCGACGCGGCGCTTGTCTCCTTGGACTTGACCCAGCGCGCAAACCAGGGCGCAAACGTAAATGGCTTCCACGGCGCCACATGCTGGCCTGCTACCGCCACCGACATCGTCTGCACTGAGCCCCAAGAGGAGGTGTCCGGCAAGACGGTGATGACATCGTCAAAGTCGGCGAGGCTCGACGTCGGCGTACAGCGCCAGGCGTCCGGCACGTAGTACGCCGTGCGCGCGGTGCTGAGCAGGATACCGGCGCAGATGTTTGCCGTCCCACCCGAGTCCTCGCTGTTGACAATGAGAAAGTCGGCATCGGTCGCCGGCATGATGTGGGTATCGGACCACGACAGCGACTGGGTCGTGAGGTGAGTCAGAGCTCGGACGCTCGACTCGTACAGGTATGCCAGTCCCTCATAGTCGATGGCAGAAACCGCAAGTGTGTTGGTGAAGGCAGCTGGGCTGGCACGAATCCAGATCTCAAACCCATCGAGCGGGCCCGAGCCGGTAACATCGCATCGGCCTATCGGCTCGCCCAGCTCGCCAGGCTTCACAATGTGGAGATCGGCGTCCGAGTCGTGACCGTATGGGGCCTGGACAAACTCCGCCGCACCACTGGGCCCGGGTGTGTAGCTCAGATGACTTGCGGTCAGCCGTGTCCCGACGTAGCTCCACTCTGACGCCGGAAAAGTGGAGAGGCGGTCGATCGACTGGCCCAGTACGAGACGGTTGACCGCGTTCGGACGAGTCGACGAGCCGTCAGTCGCCCAGTTGTCGAGCGTAGATCCCGGCGCCGATGCGGTCGCCGCATGCAGCTCCCCGCCCACCGTCGAAGAGTCATTAAAAGTGGCGCGGATTTGGAGCTCGGTTGTCAGCCGCCCGACATGCGTTCCCTGCGGAGCAGAGCGGAAGGTGACACGCCGCGGCCAGTCAAAGACCAACGCGCCGCTGGCATCGTGAGCGCAGGCAAGAAGCCGCCGCCAGCCGCCGCCGTCGGTGGCAAGGTCGCACACCGTCCGCTTGATTGGTGTAGTCTCGTACTCGAAGCGCCCAAAGACCGAGATAAACGGGTGGCGGGCGCGCGGCCATTGTGCGGCAACATGATTGCAAGTCCATGCCGGGTTGGCCCGCGATCCGATGCGATAGCCGAGGTTGAGGTCAAAAATAGCCTGGCTCGAGAGCGCCAAGTCATCAAACAGCGTGACAATGTCAAGGCCGCAGTCGGCGCAGAGCGAAGTACCAGTGCTAGGGTTGGCGCCAAGAACCAGTGGGCTGGACGCGCCTCGAGACGTCGTCCAGGTTGCTGCAGCTGCGCCGGCTAGGTCTGGCACCCCGTGGGCCACCACCGAGCCGTCGATCCAAACTGATGTGTTGCTGCTCTCCTGAACGACCGCAACATGATGCCAGGCGGCATCGCGGAGGTCAAATGAGGCATCGGACTCAAGCGGGCCCGGCAGAACCGATGCTTCAAGCCGCAGTGTGCCCGACGGTGTAATCTCAAGTGAAAACATGTCCTGGACATATGCAACCGCGTGGGTGGCGCCGGCGAGACGTGCCGACGACGAGAGGTAGATCCAAGCCGAGAATGAAAAGGTGAGTGACGGCGCAGCTCCGGTGGCCGAAAACACGTACCCCGGGCCGACAGGGAACGGCTGGGTGAACGGCGACAGCGCACGTGAGGTAGGCACTGTTGGTGGCGGCGGACCGATGATGGTAGCTGTGGCCGGTGAGGAGCCGTAGTCAATCGCAGCAGTGCCGGCGGTGTCTGGGTGGATGTAAAAGTGCGTTGGATTGAGCGCGAGCGCCATGTCCCACGCAGCATCGAGGTCCTGGGTGTGGATACCGCCCCAGGAGTAGATCTTGCCCCCGAAGATGCGGTAAGGCATCGAGCCAACGGTGATGTGGTCGAGGACAGCGTCGATCTCGGCCCAGAAGAACGCTGGCTCGGACGAGGTCACAGGAGCGTTGCTTCGAATACCCGGGATGTCGGCATCGATCGCCACGCCGTCTACAGAAATGACGGCCGCGTCTATGTGGTCGATGACGCGAGCAACAATGTAGTGGGCGTGGCCGTCGAGCACATTGCCGAGTGCCGGGTCGTTGGCGGTAACCCCGCCGCCGATGAGGGCCACGTCGCCCTTGTCCGAGTTGATGGTGACGTTAAAGAACTCGGAGGAGAAAAGGAGAATCGGAAAGACAGCCGGCACGCCAGCGCCGGCAGTGTATGTGTGGTCGCTCGGAAGATGCGAGGCGAAGATCGAGGTCTTGGCCGTCGACTCTCCGGACGCAACACGCCCAGTGTACCGAAACCAGAACGAGACGCCAATAGTCGACTCTGTCACATCAAAGATGGGCGCCACATCCCAGCGAATGAGCGGAATGCCAGCATCAGTAGGAGCGCCGAGTGCGGTGGCCAGGCCCCCGGTACCGGGCGTAATTCCTGGCTTGCTGCTGAATCCACGTGGGTAGCTCGGGACGGCATGGGGCGGGGCGGGGAAGTAAGTGCCATTCACAGCCTTGGCAAGGACCAAATCTGACGACGACTCGAGCGGGAGGACAGCATATGCGGTGTTCCATGGCGCGGCGGTGCCCATGTCGGCCCATGCTCGGTCGGTGTGGGGCGTGAATGTGGGAAGAACCGGGGTGTTGGAGGGGAAGCCGCGGCGATAGGAATTGACCTGCCCCAGGCATGAACCAGATAGAGCAACCACCCAGATGATGATGAGCAGTTGAAGCGGGTACATGGGTGTGTGCGGGGGGGGGGGGGGCTGGAGCTGTGGTGTTTGCCCGTGGTGGTGGCGGGGCGTGGTGTCGGCGTGGGGTGTGCCGGGGAAAACGGAAACGGGGACAATGTTCGAAACGACGTCAACACTGTGGTCAAACCAAAAAGCGTTCAGGAAGCTGAATGCGGCGCTGCTTGGTCTGCTGCTGACAACCCGGGCGAGATGGCAGGGTGTGACAAGCCTCTATCTGCGTCATCCATTTGCGTATGGTCTCCGCTCGCCACCCATCGGTGCCATCATGAGCTATGGGAGGAGACGTGCCGTGGTGGGATGATGAGCGCATGGGTGGAAGAGCTCGCGACATCAGTCTCAAGGCCGAGATCCAGAGCACGCGAGGACAGCTCTTCCCTCTCCAGCCTACATCGTCCATCTCCTCTGCAGCTACACTGACCCATCAGCTCGTCACTAGTCACAAAGCCAAGCACAGCATGATCACAGCTCAGTCGCCCACAAAACAATCAGCAGACTCACGTCGCGCCGAGAAAGCGCGCCACTTTCTGGCGCCACTTTCGCGCCGCGCCACCACCACGGCGACGGCCACGGCCACAGCCACGGCCACAGCCGCGACCGCGACGGCCACCACTCGACTCTGTGCAGCATGAAGAGCAGCCACCGGGCGGCGGTCATTCTTGCATGTCTGGTCTACCTCATCCTGGTGGCCCTCTCTCTCCTCTCGGCTCTGTTCTCGCTCTCGCTCTTCCTCCGCCCGACCGTCCCGCTCGCTGCCTCGGGTGCCATTGCTCTCCCGCCACCTCCGCCGTCATCGCCTCCGCCGCCTGCACTGCTGCTTGCTGACGCCTCTTGGCGTCATCCGCGAGCAACGCTTGTTCTTCGCATTGCCACCTCGCCTCCACGCAACATATCGCTCGATAGAGCTGAGGTGGTCGCGGGCCGCGGTGTCCTCCTCCGTCCGGGCCTCCCAGGCCCGAGCGTGATGTACTCGCTGGCGTATGCCGACTCGGGTCGACCCGTCGCTGCTAGCGAACTCCATACTGCCCAGCTCATTCTCGATGTCTCGCCGCTGCTCTTCCACTGGTCGCGTGCGTACTGGATCCATCATCTCGTGTCGGCGCTCTCTCTGGCAAGCTACGTCGGCCTGGCGGCCATCCTCTGGCTACCATCGGTCCGTGAGCGGCTCGACAAGGAGCCGCCGGCCAGCACTGCGGCGAAAATTCAGGCTGTTGTGCTCTCGTGCGACGTTGTTGTTGTTCTCGGCATTCTCACCGCCATCGTTGTGGCCCTCATTGCCCTCGCGCCGGCCATCTCCCTGCCAAGTCTCAGTCTCGGCGTATATCTCATCTTTGCACTCCTCGCCGTCTGGCCGGTTGCCATTGTTGCCGTCCTCGCCCGTGGACTGCATCTCAACGACTCGCGTGGCCGTATCGCACCCGCTGCTGACGATGCCGAGTTGGTGCCGCCGGCTTCTCCGGCCGCTGCCCCGGCCGCTGCCCCGGCCGCTGCTCCGGCGCCTGTCTCGCCGCCGGCCACACCGCCCGCCTCGCCTCCGCGCCTCGGCCATCCGGTATTTGACATCGTCGAAGGCGAGGACGATGCCACCGCCGATGCCACCATTTACTGCCCGTTGTGCATGATGTACTTTGGCTCGGCATATGCCACGTCCTGCTGTCGCAACTCGTCGTGCGGCGAATGTGCGTCCGAGTATGTGGCGACGTCGGCCGATGGTGGACCGTGTCCATTCTGCAACGCAGCCGTCGGCAGCTGGGTGTACCAGCCGCTTGCTGCCGACGCCGCCGCGGGGCTCGCGTCGTACGAGGACACGCCGTTCAAGCCTGCTGGGCGCGAGGCTGCGCTGCTAGCCGCCCAGTCGCCTCTCCGTATCGGCGCTGATGCCGAGGAGATGCGTCGCAAAATGATGCGTTTCGACGAGCTCGACTGATTGCCTTGCCTCGCTCCATCACCGCCACATGCCCATCATGTTCTGGTGGTACGCCGAGCTCGACATCATGTATCCGCCACTATGGCTCGCAATGGCCATGGTCTCGCTCGGCGAGATTGGCGAGCTGCCGCCGCCATGCGGTGGCGTCACCGAGCGCGACGGCGACGGCGATGCGTAACCCGGCCGCGTATGGAGCGGCGGGACTGGGAGCATTTCCCGCTCGGTGAGGCCGGCAAAGTACGGGTGGCCCAGCGCTTGCTCAGCAGTGATGCGCCGTCCCGGGTCGGCCTCAATCATCTTCTCCAGCAAGTCGAGCGCCAAGTGCGACCGAACGCCATAGTCAGCGGCGGGCGCCGCCGCCAGCTCCGCCTTCATCGCCGCCAAGAGCTTGGCCACGTTGGAAAAGTCGAGGTACCAGTCCGGGTACTTGGGATTGTAGCTCTCAAAGAGCATGTTGCCAAAGACAATGCCTGCCGAGAAAACATCGACGGCAAAGTCGTACGGCGTGTGGGTGGACGGGTGCGAGTCGAGCGCCTTGACCTCGGGTGCCATAAACGCAATCGTGCCTGTTGGCGACGTCGGCCGGTCCGCGTGCGTCCGCACATACACCGCCGTGTCAAAGTCGATCACAATCGCTCGCCGCTCCTCCGCGTTGTACATGATGTTCTCCGGCTTGATGTCGCGGTTGACGATGCCGCGCTTGTGGGTGAAAGCGAGCGCAGAGATCACGTCGTGCATGTACTGCTGCACTGCGCTCGGATCGTCGACGTCGACCTTGTCCTCGCGCAAAAGTGGCGAGACAATGACCAGGCACGAAAGCGGCGCCATGGCCGCCCACCAGTGAATCTCCTGAATGCACGGGTGTCCGCGGAGCAGCATCAGCGCTTGCGCCTCGCCTGACGGCATCCCGTCCACAATGTCGCGCTCCATCAAGAGCTTGAGCGCAAACTCGGGCGCGTCCTCGCTGCTGCCCACAAGCTTGACTCTGTACACAGCATTGTCGTCGTTGAGCGCAATACGTTTGCCAAACTCGTACATCTCGCCCAGCACTGCCTGGCACGACGCCAGCCAGTGCGCAATGACAGGTGGTGGCTCCGTGGTCGACGACGACGATGACTCGCCATCAGAGTCGGAATCGTCGTACGAGTGAGTCCACGAAAGCATCACATCTAGCGCTGGTACCAGGGCGCGCGGCTGTGGCTCTTCCGAAGCTGACGCGGCGACGGCAGCAGCGGCCGCATCCCAGCCGGCATCCGGCACCTCGGGCTTGTGTGTGAGTGTCTCGGGCTCATCAGCTCTGCTGGGATCTGTAGCTCCAGCAGCTGCTGTTGGTGGTATGGGCGATGGCGCCAGCAGCGCAGGCAGCTCGTTCTCATCCATGCGCAGTGCGCCAGGGGTGGCCGCTGGGTCCGGCGATGGTGCGGCTGCAACAACCGACTCCCCGCCGTCGTCCGACGACGCATCCTCCAACGACGGCAGCGACGCCTCCAATCCGCCGGACGCCGAATCGGCGTCGGCATGTGCATCGGCAATGTGTGCCGACGACGAGCACTCGTCGTCGACGTCCGAGTACGGGCTGGCGCCTATGGCGCCCGAGCCCGAGCTCGAGTACTCGGCGAGCGCCGACATGATCTCCGAGTTCATGACCGAGTGCATGTCAGCAATGACCTGGACCATCGACGCGTCCGAGCAGGTCCTATCCAGTCGGCCCAGCATCAGCTGCGCCGCAGACATGCCGAAGTTGGTATCTGTCTCGGAGACGAGCGAAATGTCGCCAAATGAGGTGTTCGGGTCGAGCTCAAAGTCGGCGAGAAGCTCGTCCATCGAGCCCGATGGTGACGGCGTCCGCGAGCCCGAGCCCGAGCCCGAGTCGGATCCGGTGCCCGAGCCCGAGCATGAGCCCGAGCATGAGCCCGAGCGATGGTTCTCTCCCAACGACGAGCCCGAGAATGAGCGTTGCGACAGCCGTGATCCGCGGGTCTCGCCAGGCCGCGACCGCGGCGGCGCACCAAGTGCGCGAGCGGTAGCCTCTGCTGCATCAATGTGAGCCAGCATATCGTCCATGAGCTTGGTCATCGCCTCTGTCTCACCAGTTCCCGTCTCTGACGTCAGCGCTTCTGCGCGCAGCCTCTGCCCCAGCACAATCTCGCGCATCTGGTAGACGAGCGAGTCAAAGGCAGTCTCCAACCGGTCGACAGCGGCAGCGTCAACAAAGCTCGCCGCAAGCCCGCCGTATCGCCCATACACACCAGCCACGCCACCTACCGCCGCACCCTCCAGTCGCGCACGCAGCGCAGCATTCCGTGCCAGCAACCGATCGATGTGGGCTGCCTGTGCCGCCACCAGAGTCTCCAGCACCCGTCGGTGGGTCGTGGGTCCGGTCTCGCCCGTCGGTGTCCCGCTCCCGCCGGCCGTCGTTGACCCGGAGCCGTCGCCACTGGGGATGCCATGTGAGGAATGTGGGGAGTGGAGGGGGTAATGAGGGGGTGGAGGGGGTAGTGGGGTGGGGGTGGGTGGGTGGGGTGGGGATGGGTGGGGCTGCGGCTGCGGCTGGTGGGCGAAGCCGGCTGGGTGCTTTGCCGGTCTGGCCCGCAGCCAGACGGCGGCCGGCGGTCTCGTCTGGTAGTCGGTGGTCAGTGGACGGTCAAGGATGGGCGGGCGTTTTTTATGTGCTACGCACGGACACGGGCGGCACGGGCACGGACAGCGGCCTGATCGGCCTCTAACTTGGCCAGTTCTTCGGCCTCGACGCGGGCGCGGACTTCGGCCTCGAGGCCGGCCATCTTTGCCTCGCGCTCGACAGCGGCTTGCTGGAGGGCGAGCTCGTGCTGGCGGCGGACCTCTTCGTTGTCGAGCTCCATCCTGCGCGAGAGCTCGTGGCGGAAGGCGGCAAAGCGGGCGCGCTCCGAGGCGTAGACCTGCTGCTCCAGGGAGCGGAGCTTGGCCTGGAAGGCGACCTTGTCGTTGAGCTCCTTCTCCTTGAGGAGGAGCTCCTCCTCGAGCACGCGATCCTTGTTCCGCTCCTCATCGAGCGCTAGGACGGCGGCCTGCAGCTCCTTCTCCTCGGCGAGCGCGTTGGCCTCTTCAGCTTCACGCTTGGCCTCGAGCGCCTCCTCAAACTCGCGGCGGCGCTGGGCCTTTTCGAGCAGGGTCAGCTTCTCTCGGCGGCGCTCCATCTCGAGCTTCTGGCGGCGGCGCTCGCGCTCGAGGATGCGCTTGCGCTCGTCCTCCTTGGCCTGGCGCCACTTGCGCTCCTCGGCGGTGAGGACCCGGACCTCGCGTTCGTCCTGCTTGGAGAGGAGCTCCTCGTAGCGGCGCTTCTCATCAAGCTCGAGAGCAATACGGTTGGCCTCGTCCTCGGCGAGCTGGCGGAGGCGGCGCTCGCGCTTGACCTCGGCGAGGGCAAAGTCCTTCTCCAGCTGCTCGAGCTGGTACTTTTCGTCGAGCGCGGCCTTGGCACGCAGCTGTTCCTCGAGCGACGCCAGCTTGGAGAGCTTCGAGCGGGCGAGCTCCTGCTCGAGCTTGCGCTCTTCATCCTCCAGTCGCCACGCCTCGAACAGCATCTTCTCCTGCAGCTCGTCCTGCTTGCGCCGCGCCTCGGCCTCGGTGCGCAGGTGGACTGAGGTCGACTCGCGCTCGCGCTCGGCCTCCATCTCCTGCAGTCGCTGCATGGCGGTAAACTCGAGCTTGAGCAGCGCCTCCTCCTCAAGCCGCTGCCGCATCTCGTACGCCAGTCGTGAGCGGCCGAGCGCGAGCTCCTCGTCAAGACGCTCCAGCTCGGCGGCGCGTGCGCGTTTCTGGGTCTCCATGAACTTTTTGCGCGAGGCCTCGTAGACCGCCAGCTGAGCAAGCCGCTGCTCCTTGGCCTGGGCGTCAAGGAGCGAGCGCTGCTTGAGGCTCTGTGCCTCGAGCTCTGCGGCCTGGCGGCGGCGGACCTGCTCGGCCTTGAGCAGCTCGTCCTGCTGGCGCTGCCACTCGGCCTCCTCAGCCTCGATGGCGGCAGCGCGGGCGGCGAGCTCCTCGATCGTCGCCCGCTTGCGCGAGGCCTCGGCCTCGTCGGCCGCAATGCGGGCGTGCTCCTTGGCTTGGTAGTTGACGACAAAGTGCGGGTATGCATTGAAGATGGGATACGCCGCGCCGGGCGGAAGCGCCACAAACGGCGCACCGGCGTCCGGACCGGCCGGCGCCCGGCCGACTAGGCCGTACGCCGCCTGCAGGACTGCGTTGAGGTTGACCGCGTTGTGGTGTGTGAGGAAGAACTCGAGGTCGTTCCGCGACGTCACCCGCAGCAGCGCCGACGAAAAGGCGCCGAGATAGGCGGCAACAATGTAGTTGAGCAAGTCCTTGGGGCCCGAGAACACGTGGTCCATGAGCTTGAGCCACTCGCCGCGGGTGAGGACGTCGGTGAAGAGCGAGGAGAGCAGCGGCCACGCAACCTCGACCATCGAGAAGCCGACGGCCGCAAAGTGCGCCGCGAGCTCCGGATAACCAGTTTCGAGGACCGCCTCGACGTGGGCGAGCGTGTTGATCGGTGGGTTCGGGTAGTACTCGTACCACGAGCCGGTGTACTGGGTGAGGAGCGTGGCTAGGACCTCAAAGACAACCACGTCGTCCGACTTGGCAAAGAGCTTGACAAAGGGAAAGACGACTTGCGGGAGCCACGAGAGCTCGCCAAAGATCGGCGCCCAGTGGGCGAGCGCAGAGACCTGTCGCTCGAGGAGCTTGAAGAGCTTGCGCGACGAGATCGGGTAGGTCTCGGCGAGCCGCGACCACGAGACGTGGACTCCCTTGGCCACCAGCGCTTCAAACGCCTCGCTGTTGCTCGGAACCTGGAGGAGGAACCGCCAAATGAGCAGCCGGTACTTGGACGGGTACTCGCCGTACTCGAGGAGGAGCGAGGCGAGCTTGTCGGCAGAGAGCAGCGCCGACGCCGATCCGGTCTTCCCCGCCCGCACATCCAGCGGCGGATCGGCCCGCGGCGCCGGTTTGGACGCGCCAGGCCAGCCGGACTTGGTCCATCCACCACGAAGCTTGCCGGTTGCCGCCGACGACGGATGCGCAAAGGTCGACGAGCCAGCGCTCGACTTGCCCTTGCGCGCTTGCTGCCGCTTCTCGGCCGCAGACGGAACCGGCATCGCCGGCGTCGCGTCGGGCCCGTACGACTTGGCCACCAGCGTCTCGCCCGACGCCGCACTCGAGGTGGAGCTCGAGCTTGCTCGAGCGCCAACCACCTCGAGGTCGTACAGCGCAGCATGGCCGTCGTGTGTGAGCGCCACACAGTAGCGGCCAAACGGTGAGAGTGCAAAGCCAGTCAGCGGGCGAGTCTTGCCGCCAATCTGCGCCAGCACGACGCCCGAGGCGAGCGAGACAAAGTACAGCACGCCGTTGTCACACAGCAGAGCGAGGACCGGCGAGTGACTCGGTAGGCTCCAGTGCGCATTGCCGTCCGGCGGGACAAAGGCGCCGGCAACGACGCCGCGGGCGGCAGCAGGCAGGTAGAAGATCTTGGCCAGCGAGCCGTCGACGGTCCGCCACACTGCCACGCCCAGCGTCGGCGCCGCGCCCCAGCCGAGGACGTAGCGGTCGTCACCCGAGAGCGCGACGCCAGTCACGTCGAGCTCGAGCTCGGCCTTGGGCAGGTGCAGCTGATAGGTGGCGCTGAACGAAGCGCCGTCCCACAGAACAATCGCACCGGTGGCTAGGACGGTGACCGCGACGGTGTCGCCGAGCGCTGCCGTTCGCAGCGGGACAGCTGCACCGTCGTCGCTCTCGCCGCCGAGGGCACGGGTCTTGGCCCAGCCGAGTGGATCCCACAGCAGGGCGGCGTCGGGCGAGACAGTGAGAACGCCCAGCTTTGAGACTGAAACAGCGGCAACCGGCTTGCGGTGACCCCTCAGGGCGGCGAGCGGAGCGCCAGTAGAGCCCGAGACGACAGCGAGAGGCTTTCTTGGCGGAGCGATGACAAGATCAGCAGCAGCATGGGCAAGAGCCGATGGCGGGCCATTAGCAGAGTGCAGCAGCGAGTATCGATTGGAGAGGACATGGAAGGTGTAACACTTGCCAGCAGCATCAGCAAGAGTAAAGGTGGCTCCCGAGGGCGCAAAGGCAGCAGCTGTGAATGGCGTCCGGGTGGCCGAGCCGTTGAGCGAGTTAGCCACCAGAGTGAGGACACCATTGCGGGCAACCCTGGGCTTGGTTGTCCAGATACGCCCATGGCTTCCAGACAGTGTCACCGTATACACCATACCTCGCCGCTCCTCCTGGGTCGCACTCGCAGGGGGGTGGGGGGTGGAGATGGGTGTGCTGTGGGGATGGTAGAGGGGGAGGGGGGGGCTGGGGGAGGGTGGTTGGCCGGAGATTGCGCGCCAACGGTCGAAAAATGGGGTCGTTTTCCATCCATATAATAGCGGGAGGACGGCCGTGCCAGGGGGGGGGGGTGCTGGGCCGGAGATAGCGCGCCAACGGTCAAAAATGGGAAAGACGTGGCGGATTTGGGAGAGAGCGTCTGGGCGAGGTCGGTGGATGAGGGGATGGATGGATGGTTGGTTTGATGGGGGGAGGGGTGGAGGGGGCGGAGGGGTTAGGAGGGGGGGGGGGGGAGGATGGCGATCTGGCCATGGCCTTGGCCTTGAGCTACTCACGCTCGACCTTCCCTTGCTTCCACTCTAATCTCGCTCTCCGCTCTCATCACCAAGGCCAAGTTCGAGTGCGACGCAGAGAGTCGATGTGGTGCAGTGCCTACGCTTGGGTGGCGGCAGCACGGGCCCGTGCCAAAAAGTCAGCGTCGTCGATGCCACGCGCGGGGTCGCAGGTGAACGAGATGGTGAGAGCGTAGCGGAGGCCCGCGGTGACTCGCCGGACCCGGTGCGGGTTCTCGCCGCCAGACGAAAAGACAAGAATCCGGCCCTTGCGCGGTACGATGCGGGAGGCGGTGTCGGTGAACTCAAACTCGCCGCCAGCAAAGCCGTCGCCGTCGCCGTCGCCGTCGCCGTCACCGCCATCTACCGCAGCCGGATCGGCGAGATACACCAGACCGGTATAGGTAAAATCTGGATAGGCAACCGTGTCGACGTGTGTGTGCCAGTACTCGTCGTGATCGGTTGCCGGCGGCTGGCTCCCGTTGAATCGCGAGAAAAACGTCGGCGACGAGAGGTAGAGCTGCCGGCCGGTCTCGGCCTCGAACACGCTGGCGATAAGATCGCGGACAGAGGTCACAACGTGCGCGTAGACATCCAGCGCGGTAGCGTCCAGTCGGCCAGCTTCTGGACGGGCGGCAAGGAGCCGGAAGAGATCCGCAAAGCGGTTGCGATGCGAGACGGCGCCCGAGGTCAGGTCAAGGATGGAGACGCCACCTGATCCGCCGCCGCCGACAGCCAGCGCGGCGTCCATCAGCGCGCGCAGGGCGTCAGCATGCTCGGGCGAAACAATGCCATCGACGGCAAGCCGCCCGCAGCGGGCTGGCTCGCACCGAGTCGGCGATGGCGGCGGAGAGTCGCCGCAGTCGCGGGCAGCCGCGAGGAGCGGGGCAGGCAACGAGGCCGGGAGCGGCAGTCCGTCCGGACCCGAGGTCGGTGCAAGCATGGTGGTGAGGAGGAGGCCCGCCAGGGCTGCGAGAAGAATACCCAGCGTGGCCCGTGCGCTCTGCATGGTGCGGAGAGCAGAGAGAGCGGTGGTGGTAGAGCTGCAGCCAGACCACGGTGCAGCGGCGTGGCGAGGCGCGGCAGAGACGGTGAGGCTACTGGCGTGCGTGAGTGCAACCCATTTGGCGACGACCCGGGGGAAAAGGGGGAGTTACTCGGACGAGGCGGGAAGGATCGATTAATTGTTGTTTTTTCATTCTCACGAAAGAAACGGCCTTGACACAAGCTTGGATAGCCGGGACCCATATGGCTATCTGCTGCTCGTATCGAAGGCAGAACACATCCAGATGAGCAAAAACCTTGGACAAGAGGGGACCACCTATCCCCTATGACACGTCCTTGACCTAGCTTCACCTACATATCACTACTGTACACACAGACTACGACTACACCACGACGACCCCATCCAGGATCGCGACGCATTACGTCGACGATTCGGCTCCAGACTGACGATGGCCGGGCCAATCAACAACCACGATCCGGTCGACAGCCCGCGCCGAGCCATACACTCGCTCGAGATGCCGGTCCCACGCTCGTCGCCCCGCCCGCCACGCAAGCTGGCCGGCGACAAGCTGGCCGTACAACACGGCAGCGCCGATGAGGAGAACCACCAGCGGGCCGCCAAATCCAATCGCCATGCACCGGCACCGCGAGAGGTCTGGCGTGTCGACCACACCGCCGGCCGCAAGCAGCGCACCCACAAGGCCGATCACGATCGAGAACGCCAGCGAGCCCGCCAGGAGGGTGTGCCCGAACTCGCCCAGCATGCCGAGCACCTGCTCCGCCTCGCCGGCGCTCTCTTGCCCGGCAGCCACTTGTGGCTGGACCATGGCCAGATACGCATCAAACATTTCGCCCAGCTGCTCCAGCACCCGCCATCGCGCCGCCAGCACGCCGCACACCAGCACCGCCGCAATCAGAGCAGCCAGCGCCACGCCATACTCGCATCCGAGCAAGGCCAGCGAGCGCCAGACCGCAGCCTGCCCGCCGCGCGGCGGCAGATGCGCAGTCACGTATCGCTCGCCGCAGATCTGGCACGCAACCGCAGCGTCCGGGTGCGATCCGGCGTCGCGCCACGCGTCCAGACACCCGCGATGGACGTGGCCAAGCGATCCGGTACACGCGCACGGAGCAATGAGTGGTCCGTACTCGGCCACCACCTGGGTCTCGCCTCCCTCGTGGCAGAACTTACACATCGCCGCCTCGTCCGACGCTTCCGTGCCATGCCCCTCGCCGCCCAGCGCCAGCACCGCCGCCACCAGCTCGTCCTTCTCCACCATGCCGCGGCTCGGCACGCCCGCCGCCTGTAGCCGCGCCTTAAGCACCCGCACACTCAGACCAGCCACTGCCGTCCGCTGTGCGTCTCCCGCCGGCCCGTCCGCCATGTCGCCGCCTCGCGTTGAGTCGAGTGAGTCAGTCGGTTGTGTCCGTCTGGGAACCCGCTCGCACGCCACGCGCAAGGCACGTGCAACTGCAGTTGTGGCTTGGTGGCACCAGCAACTTGCACTAAGACTGCTGGTGTATAAGGGGCGGTAGTCCTGTCTCTATCGCAGCTGCCATCGCCCACAACGCCTGGTCGTGTCTGTTCCAGATCATAGCTCGAGAACGATTGATCCCAAATCCGTCGCAGTCGGTTTGGCATTCTGCAACTGCACACACACCATGTGTGAGGCAAGACACAAGTCAACTCCTCCATCTCCATTGTGCACACTTGGTACCACCATCTTTACCCCCTAAACTGAACATCTGAGCGCAAAAGCTCCTAATCGCATCTTTGATTGCCTCTAACAAGCTGCCGCCTCCGGTTTCCCCTTTGTGAACCGACCCACTGCGACGACAAACGATGATCCTTGTCCAGATGGCTCTCTCGTGACTGGCAAGCGCTTACAAGCACAACCGCACCCGGGTCATCTACCCCTCCCACTGCATCTCCTCACCGCCACCTCCACATCAAACCCACCCAGATCGTCACGGCGATCCAATGACTTGGCTCTCTCAAACTGTGTGACTGTCCCAAATGGCCCATCACACACCGAGGGCGGGCAGGGGCACCCCCCCCCCGCTACCCGTAACCTCTCCTCTACCCCCCCCCCACACACATACACCTCGAACCATGCAGAGGGAGATCGAGTGGGCCCTGTCCCGGGCCAAGGCAGCTTTCCCTGCGCCCAAGATCGTGCTGGAGCAGTACCCGACGTCTGCGGAGATTGCCTCGCACATGGTGGCGACTATGGATGAGGGCTACGGCGATGTCGAGGGCGCCCATGTGGTTGATCTGGGATCGGGAACGGGTATGCTCTCGCTGGCATGTGCCCTGGGTGGTGCAGAGTCGGTGACCGGGGTGGAGATCGATGACGAGGCGAGAATGGCTGCCGAGGAGAACTTGGCTCTCCTGGTCGACGCCGGCGAGCTCGACGCGCCGACGGGCGTGACGTTTGTTGCGGGCGATGTGCTGGCTCTGGGCGAGACGCTGACGGAAGGCACTCCATCAGAGACCGGTCTCTCGCCGCGGTGCTGCAGAACGGTCATCCTCAACCCGCCGTTTGGCACCAAGAAGCACAAGGGCCTCGACACTAAGTTCCTCGCTGTCGCCTTTGATCTCGCCACCTCGGCCGTCTACTCGCTCCACAAGTCGTCGACCCGGCGATTCCTCCTCAAGTTTGCGGCCAAGCACGGCGTTGACGCACACGTCCTTGCAGAGCTCCGCTACGAACTGCCTAACACGTACAAGTTCCACAAGAAGAAATCGGTCGATATCGAGGTCGACTTTATCCGCTTTGACGTCTCTGCCCGCGCTACCGCCGCTGCTGCCGCTGCCGTTAGTGATGCCGAAGCTGCTCCCGCTTCTGCCTCCTCGCCTCCTTCCCCCCCTCCACCGACCGACACAGCATAAACCACCCCATGCTTGTCCATGGTTGTCATCGCAGGATGGCAAACTGCTGCATCTCGACGGTGCCAAAGTGCGGGATGTGGCCAGGGAGGGCGACGCTCCGCTTCGGCCCAAAGACCCGCATCTGGCGAATGTGTGTATCGCGTCCGTTCTGATGGTTGGAGACGACGGCGACTTGGAGAAAGTTGGTCCGCACCACGGCGTCGAGGTCTGCGGCGTCGTCATCGTCGGGCTCCTCGCCATTCTCCAGCGCTTCCGCCCGCCGGGCCGCCCGTGCCGCCGCCGCCGCCGTCCGCAGCGGAATGACGACCCATCCGGCCGGCTGATCCAGCTCGACAACCTCGAGCTCGACCAGGTCGTGGTAGTTGGTCCCGATGCGGAGCGAGAGTGTCCGCGGCGTGTACGACTCGTCGTGGCGATAGTCGACGTGGAGGGCGAGATGTGTGATGGCCATCTTCTTGGGAAACTGGATGTTGACCAGATGCGGCTGCGGTCCGTCCGACTGCCAGTATGTTTCCGTCGAGCCATCTCGCAGATGATCGACCGGGAAGCCTGTCTTGGCCGTCGACAGCGACCACGCCGCCTCCTCGCCCAGCTCACGGACCTCGGCCAGCTGCGCCTCGCTCATGCCCATGTCCAACGCCGTCTGCAAATCCACCGCCATGCTCTCACGCCCTCTTTCTCTTCCGTATCTCCGCCGACTCTTCCTCCACACGCAACAAGAGACGAGTGCCCGCCCCGTCTCCGTCCCCGTCCCCGCCCCCTGGCCCGAGATAGACACAACTGCACCGACCGTCTGACACAGCCACGTCCCCGACAGCACCGACACGGCCGACACAGCCACCGCACTTATCACGCCGGCACCCACCCACCCTTCCACCTCCGATCTCCCATCCACCAACCCTACAACCCCGATCTCCCACTTCTACCCCCTCCCCCCCCCCCCCCTTCCCCGATGACACATTGGCTGGTGTTACACCGATCCGATCCGCCGAGCACGACGTCCATCCCCCGCAAGTCGCGCTCATTGGCCGGCCACCGATTCGGCTGGCACATGCCGTTCGGAGCGATGGTTGGCGTCAGCCAGAGCT